CATGGTTGACATTCACTTCACAGATGAAGGAGAGAGACTTTGAGCAACAAAACAAAGACAATATCAGTCCACCTATATGGCAGTGAATGCTTGACAATCTCCTTACAGATGAAGGAGAGACTTTGAGCAACAGAAACAAAGAGAAGACTGTTGAACTGTTAAGTAAATATCTCCTCCTATATAGCAGTGATGCTAACAAAAGATGAAGGAGACTTTGAGAACAGAACAAAAGAGAAGACTGCTGTTATGTAATATCAGTCCTCCTATATGGCAGTGAATGCTTGGATATGCCTATGAAAAGACTTTGAGCAACAGAAACTAGAAGACTGTTGAACTGTTATGTAATATCAGTCCTCCTATGGCAGTGAATGTGACAATCTCAAAAATGAAGGAGAAACTTTGCAACAGAAACAAAGAACTGTTGAACTGTTATAATATCAGTCCTTATATAGCTATGATTTGGCAACAGAAACAAAGCTGGACATTCTCTTCTCCTTACAGATGAAGGAGAGACTTTGACTTTGAACTGTTATGTAACCAGTCACCTATATGGCAAAAAGGAGAGAAGCAACTGTTGAACTGTTATGTAATATATCAGTCCACCTATATGGCAAAGAGAAGACTGTTGAACTGTTATGTAATATCAGTCCACCTATATGGCAGTGAATGCTTGACAATCTCCTTACAGATGAAGGAGAGACTTTGAGCAACAGAAACAAAGAGAAGACTGTTGAACTGTTATGTAATATCAGTCCTCCTATATGGCAGTGAATGCTTGACAATCTCCTTACAGATGAAGGAGAGACTTTGAGCAACAGAAACAAAGAGAAGACTGTTGAACTGTTATGTAATATCAGTCCACCTATATGGCAGTGAATGCTTGACAATCTCCTTACAGATGAAGGAGTTATGAATATCTTTATGGCAGTGAATGTTTGAACAGAAAGGAGAGACAAACAGAAACTAAGAAGACTGTTGAACTGTTATGTCCTCCTAATATCAGATGAAGGAGAGACCAACCTATATGGCAGTGAATGTTGACAATCTCACTTACAGATGAAGGAGACTTTGAGCTTTGAACTGTTATGTAATATCAGTCCACCTATATGGCAGTGAATGCTTGACAATCTCCTTACAGATGAAGGAGATTTTTGAGCAACAGAAACAAAGGATGCTGTTAGAATATCAGATCCTCCTATAATGGCTGATTAAACATGTGAGCAACTACGAAGTTCTAGAGACAATGGAAATAAAAAGGACACTTAAACTAAATATCAGGAAGAGACAGTTAAAATTTTTAGGGAACGTAATGAGGAAAGAAGGCTTGGAATATTTGATACTCACAGGACAGATTGAAGGCAAGAGGGGGACAAAAGAAAGCAGCGGATAAACTATCTGGAGGAATATTATTTGGGAGAGATAACAGAAAGACGAAATTTATTAAGAGCTAGGAAAGGAAATTGTGGAGAGCCATGACCGGTCACGTCCTGAAGGGGTACGACACATAGAAAAAGATTGTTGGTAGAGTTATCATTCTGCAATTATGTATATATTTCTTTGCTTTGCAAACTACTTATGTCATATCTATATCATTATATCTGTGGTTATGTTTCTCAAGTAATACGTCGTTGTTAATAGCACTTAGCATGAATCATTCTGGATAGGCTTCTAAATTTCAGTGGTGATTTCAAATAATGACAGAACGCAAAACCGGAAACCGATTTAATGTTTGAAAAAAAAAATGATTCAAAACTATCTAATTTAAAAACTCGTATACAAGTATGTCTCTCTGCTAAGGCGGCTAGCCAGTCCCTATTGCAGACGTTTGCTCAGGCACATTTGTGTTTATTCAACACTCACGGAGCCCACGTGTGGTTTATACTGCCACTATACTGGACGGACCTTAGTTACAGTTTCTAGGAGAGCGTGCATTATTTGCCGTGACCAACAAGGCCAGTACGCTAAAACCCACGGTCACGATGACTTGTGACTTCGTGCTCAACCATCGGCGGCTTCCAAATAGTTCCGCCTACCCAATTTCATTAACATACTCTTGGGTAAACCCATGGTATGCTTTTCAGTCAATTTTTCCAAGGTGCCGCACGCTGTGATCCGTTCTACAGGCCGACAACGTCAAGATGTCACCATCCTGACCAATCGATAAACGCACCTCTTAAAAATATAGAAAAGAAACGGTTTGAAACTTACCTTTAATCTATATGCTTTTGTCACTTTATCAAATCAAATCACACAAGGAAGAGATTCTGGATTCTACTTACCTGAAATAGGAAGAGAAGAAAACAAAAACGAGATTAAAAAAAATTTAAGAAACATTAGAGTCATTTGAATTATTTACATTATTCGGTCTGTTATCCTCATCTTAATCGCCATATTTACAACGTTTCGGCTGTTTTACACTACGGCCTTCTTCAGTTGATTAGAATTTTGAACCGAACTTTTTATTTCGTCCACCGGGGTAGACTGTTCTAGTTCCACGTGCCATGGCTCTTCCGGGTGTTTCAGTTATTTCCCTTTAACTCAACTCTCCAAGTTTTGGTTCACAACTGCTGTTGCCTGGTATTGAACTCACAACTCTTTGGGTTTAATCACTGGATCTGTGGATCATATAACACCAAGACAACCTTCAAAAGTGGTTCAACACTTACTTTTCCGAGTAAGACCCCCCCATAGAGGACAACATGACTAAGGACTGTGTGCACGTCATCCCGTGCAACTGTGGTAAGAAATACAAAGGATAAACGGACCACGCTCTTAAGGTAAGAATACAAGAACATCGTAAAGCGATAACACGAGGGGAAATAGAAAAATCAAGCGTAGCTGACCATATAAGGAGGAAAAAAGAGAGATCACCACCTCCTGTCGGATAAGGTTGAAATAATTGACAGAGGGCATTACTGGAAAATATGAATACATAAGGAATCCGCACATATGCTAGGCCACAAAAATCTTCTGAGCCGACCAAGCATAGAAATGAATACAATATGGGAACTAGTAATAAGGAGTGCAAGAGAAAAGCAATGAATAACAAAAAAAAAAAAATTGCAATATAAACTCTGGTAAAAAATGCAATAATAATAACAGAAAAATTGCAATATGAGTACTCAAAGAGTTGTGAGTTCATTATCAGTCCACAGCAGTGATCAACGAAAACTTGGAGTGTTGAGTTAAAAGGAAATAACTGAGACATCCGGAAGAGGCATGACACGTGGAACTAGAACGATCTACCCGAGTGGACGAAATAAAGAGTTCGGTTCGAAATTTTAATCACCTGAAGAAGGCTAGAGCGTACAACGGCTGAAACGACGTTGTGAATATGGCAATGAAGATGAGGATAATAGTCCGAATAATGTAAATAATGCAAGTAATCATGTTAGAGATATAGACATTTGTAGAATTAAAATTGCATGAAAAGTTTGTCAAGTAGAAGAATTATATAGACATTACTACGATTAAATTTGTTGTTTATGTGACTTAAGATTCTGGGGGGATTGGAGTTCTAGTGTGTCAAAGAGCAGTTTAAAAAATAATTTAGCATTATTTTGATTTGTAATCAGAACTTAATTGGCTAACTGGTTATGAGCATTCCAGGATTCAGCAGTAGGTCAGCAGGATAGCACAATATTTTAAGCAGATATTTCATCTGAAAAATGTTAAAATAATAATTTATCATCTAAAATAAATAAACGCCTATTTTATCATAAAGTCATATAATTATTGAAGTGTCTCTGTAGATGTTATGATTCAATTGAATTAAAATTTGGAAGTCTCGCAGTTAGTATTTATGAGAGGAGGAAGAGTTTATTCTACTCTAGGAGGGTTTACCGCAACAGATTGCAACCCTCTTTTAGATAATAATGATTTAGTAAGACGAGGAGAAGAGGTGAATCCCTACCTTCCCTAAGGAATTTTCGCGTAAGTGAATATACTGAACCCAATAGGTGTTGGAACTCGGGTAGTCGATTAACAATTCCGAGCCGTTATCCAGTACACCAACTGCACACCCAAGCTTACAGAATCTGGTATTTCCAAGCGGTCACCCATTTAAGTACTGACAAGGCTCGACGTTTACTTATCTTTGGTGATCGTACAAGAGGCAGTGCTTTGACCTAATATGGCTGTAAGCCAGATATTACGAGAGATAACAAAACTACAAACACTGCTAAGAGCGACAAAGAACAGGATGTTAGGGAGAGCCGTGATAACCTGATGTAATGAATATGCATACACCTGGGTTCCTGGTCACAGTAATATGATTGGCTGGTATCAGCCATAAATACAGACTGATGTGGAGGTACGCGGACGACGCCTATTGGATACGGCTATTGTCTTCGTCTATTGCCTACCACTACGACGAGGACCAGTCCATTACGGTTTCCTGCTAGATTGTCCTATCCGTTTACAGTAGTCCCAAACCACTTTGCTACTTCGAACAAATATATCCCTTTCCGGGACATTTCATAACCCACGTCCTGAAAAGAAACGACACATAGAAGAAGATTAGCAATTTTAAGAGATTATCCGTTACAACAGCCGTCCATCCAAGCTTACAGCACCGGGTTGCTGACCATGCACGAGTTTGCTTAACTTTGTTGATCGTACAGGAACCGGTATTTCAGCTAAGCGAATGCTGGCAAAACTATAAAAAGAAAGTCTCTTATTTGAATGTTAGAGGCAGTCATATTGAGCCGGTATCTCTGGAACAGTAAGAGATGAACAAAGAAATATCTTATGTTGCCGGTTGGAAATCTCTTTGAATGCGTACAGCTGTTTTCGCGTGAGGCTTTATTGAGCTTTGACGTCTGCATACTTGAATAGGAAGGGTATGAAAGTATTTTGGTATCCCAACATGAACATTAGCATCTTTTCTCTTTGTTGTTGTCTTATTAGGTTATTTCGACTGTCTATATTTGGAGATTTTTTTTTTATTGAGCATTGCGCTGAATTTGAATGTTTCAATGAATCTATTGAACTTAATATAGTGATACGTATGTAAGTTACGTGTCTACCTACCTACTTATCTATCTATCTATCTATCTCAATCATTTAATGTCTCTCTCTCTCTCTGAATCAGCTAATATCTATCTATCTATCTATCTATCTAAATCAGTTAACATATATATATATAATAAATATTTGAAAAAAAGATGCTTAAAATCTTCAAATGATGCTTACCATGATGCTACCATCTATCTATCTATCTATCTATCTATCTATCTATCTATCTATCTATCTAAATCAGTTAACATATATATAATAAATATGTGAAAAAAAGATGCTTAAAATCTTAAAATGACGCTTACCATGATGCTACCATCTATCTATCTATCTATCTATCTATCTATCTATCTATCTATCTATCTATCTATCTCAATCATTTAATGTCTCTCTCTCTCTCTGAATCAGCTAATATCTATCTATCTATCTATCTAAATCAGTTAACATATATATATATAATAAATATTTGAAAAAAAGATGCTTAAAATCTTCAAATGATGCTTACCATGATGCTACCATCTATCTATCTATCTATCTATCTATCTATCTATCTATCTAAATCAGTTAACATATATATAATAAATATGTGAAAAAAAGATGCTTAAAATCTTAAAATGACGCTTACCATGATGCTACCATCTATCTATCTATCTATCTATCTATCTATCTAAATCAGTTAACATCTATCTATCTATCTCAATCCTTTAATGTCTCTCTCTCTTTGAATCAGCTGATATCTATCTATCTAAATCAGTTAACATCTATCTATCTATCTATCTATCTATCTATCTATCTATCTATCTATCTCAGTCATTCAATGTCTCTCTCTCTCTCTCTGAATCAGCTAATATCTATCTATCTATCTATCTATCTATCTATCTATCTATCTATCTATGTCTGTTCAAATCAATCTACGTTTGTTAAAATCTATTTATCCAAGTCTGTTCAAATCAATTCATCAATCAATCAATCTATCTTATTCTGTTCAATATCTATCTATCTATCTATCTATCTATCTATCTATCTATCTATCTAAATCAGGTAACATCTATCTATCTATCTATCTATCTATCTATCTATCTATCTATCTAAATCAGTTAACATCTATCTATCGATCTATCTATCTCAATCATTTAATGTATCTCTCTCTCTCTGAATCAGCTAATATCTATCTATCTATCTATCTATCTATGAGAAGAAAACTTTTATATTTAAGCAATTCGATGACGTAGAATATTCAATACTTAATTAATTATGCCCCTCTGCCTGATTCCCAAAATGAGGGTCGCTCATCAAGTGTAACAAATATTCACCAGTGTGTTTACACTTTGCTATTAACTCATTCATCATTGACGAATTATAACAACTCAATATGGAGCTTTTCGATGCGGTGTAATGAGTGGAAGGTTTGTCTCGCTACATCAATTGTGACTGAGTAGTAAGTTCGTTCTATACTTTCGGATTTGTGCCACATCGATATAATATCCCTAATCGATTTCCAATACATTGTCTGCATTTGCCAGAAACGGTTTTACATGTAAAAGACTATTCCATTTTCTTAATAATTTGGGGCATTTATCCAATTCCTCGTTACTTTAAAATAAATTATGTCGCGTTTTCTTTGCTTATGCGTTTTGTTGCCAGTCATATTATTGCTGAGGTATTTTGGATTAACTTTCTGTTTGCTTTATATTACTGCATCTGCACATTTAGACTTATATTTGATGAAAATATCTTTATTACTAGAGTTAATAGAGAGCCTATGTTGCAGTGATTTGTGCAAATTATTTAAAATTCCTGTGGGATGGTAAGATTTTTTGCTAATATATTTATTATTAGAAAGTTCGTATATAGCAACAACATACACACACACACACATATATATATATATATATATATATATATATATATATATGTGTGTGTGTGTGTATGTGTGAAAAGTGTATATAAATATAAACAAATATATATATGTATAATTATTTATATATTATATGCGCGGTACTTATTACAAAGCGCTCAATATCAGAGATAGAGCTAACATATTTGGTTGGATAGATGTGAGTTTGTGACCCTGGGTTTCACGCTTTAGCGGTCGTCAGACAAACTGATTAATGTTTTAAAAAATTTGGGTTTATGTAGATTGCGTGTATTGGTGTTATTGTGAAAGTGGTGGGGGAAATTTCGTCGTTTTGTCATTCATCGTACTAACGCAAACATCGATATATGCAGACACATATACATACTTGGTCGTCCGTCGGGACTCATACATATATAAACATATGTGGGCAGTTTCGGCTATGACACATGTATGTTTACGGGGTGGTGTTATATCTATACATACACATTTGTATGTTGAAATGTTGAAATCTAAACATTGGAAGTGTGGCGGAAATGTCTCGTTGATGTGTACATGTCATATGTATTTTCCAGCTGGAAAATATTTCCTCGCATGTATGTATATGCGTGTGGTGGGGTTTGTGTAAAATTATTATTTATATTTATTTTTAAATTTTTGAAAAAAAAAAATGGGGCTTTATTTGTTATATTTAAAGCTGGTTATTTGTTTGTTTTTGGTGACTGTGTATATGTAACAGGTAGAAATTTGTAATCCTTATTGGTTAATTTATATGGTGATGTTTAGTCTAATATTCAATTATGCTGGGTGAGAGGGTAGTTCAATTTAATAACGGGTCTATATGGTATGATGTGATAGTAATGTTTCCAATATATATATATATATATATATATATATATATATATATATATATATATATATATATATATGATAAAATATAGTTTTAATGGCTTAAGAACAGTGAACGCATTCTTGAAGGCTTGGAACTGAGGGACACTGATTGGTGCTGACCTCATTTAAAGAATGCATCCTTCTGAGCGATATGTTTTTCTTTTTAAGCATTTCATCCCAAGCAAGGCGGGAAGCCACTAGCACGCAAGGGGTTACAGAGAGTTGGAGCGAGAGCAAAGAGGAGTGATAGAGGAAAGGATGAAGAGAAGGATAGGGGATAGATCAAGGTATCTGGAGACGTCGATTGACATGACGTTAGTTATCTTTTTTTTATGTGATATAGTAAAAATGAGAAGGTCTGAAGTAAAAGAAGCAGACGGTTATCGACCGTGACGTGGGCAGAGAGAAGTTGGCTCAGCCTGCAACATAATGTGGCCTAAGGGTTGCCCACCGGAGGTGAATGCAGCGACACCTATCCATGCGCGACATGGCACGACAGACACCCCAGTATTATACAACTGTTGATCAGAGCGGCCGCTCAAGACGCTACGCAAGAGTTAGGGCTCCTAACTACCAGTCGGAAGCAGCAACCAGGAAACTGTCAAACGTGTGCCCTCAGAATGAAGAGGTAATGCCACAGACTGTACACATAACGGGAGAAACACAGCAGCACTAGTACAGACGACAGAGAGAAAGAGAGGGAGAGTTCCGGGAACTCCTTCCTAAACAAGAAACAAGGTGTGAGCCTCTACTCTTGCCCAATAGAAGGGGGAGGAGTATTGACCAGACGGTAGGAAAGCCTACCTACTCCTATTACATATAACACACTCAACAACAACAACAACAACAGATGCTGCAGCTGACAAGGAGTCCAAGCTGACAGCTGAAGACATTTACCGATGGATAGGAATGGGGTTTTATTTTTATTTTTCCCTTCCATTACATTGTTTTAACTTAGTATACGTCCTACTGTCCTATCCTAAAAACAAATACGAAAGATTCTTGAAAGAGCCATTGATTTGGCAAAATCGAACACCGACTTATCGGTCGAGCAGAGAAAATTATTAATCACAGTTATATTCAGTGTTATGTCACAGAGACAATGATGGACGTACACAGTTATTTTGATGTTACCATGGGTAATCATGACGGTGCTATTTACGAGTTTATTTGCTTTCGAAGAGAACTGAAATTTCAACTAAGGAAGATATTGTATTTTACAGAGCTAACAGACCAATAGTTCTCACAAAGTGTAATGGCAGAAAAAAAAATGAACTCAATGCGAAAAAAGTTACAGTCATTTAAGGAGTCAGTATGCGAGGGTAGTGATTCGGTTATCGATTTCTAGTCGAGTCTGTTGCGTTCACTTGCGTGTTAAATCTAGTAAGTATAGAAAACGTGTCAGAACCTAATATACTGACAATTAATTTTTCTTAACTTTATTTTGAAAAGTGTGTGCTCTTAGATTGTCAAGCTCTTGGATTGTCAGCTTTTCTTTATACCATAGCAGGTGACTTTCGATGTCATCACATTGCTGGCAATAAATCTCTGCGGTGATGGCCCTTTGATATGTCCCGGAAAGGGATATATTTGAACGAAGTAGCTAAGTGGTTTTGGCTACTATAACCAAGTAGAATACGGTGGCAGTAATCGACTGGTACGCGTCGTAGACGCAGGTAAGAAGTGTAGATCAATGGCGTAGTCCAATGGGCGTCGTTATAGACTTAGCTCTTAGACTAAGGCTCTTTGATTCTCCTACACGTCCGTCGGTATTTATGACGGACACCAGCCAATCATATTCCAGTGAGGGGGAACATAGGTGTACGCATATTCCATTATATCACCCTTCTATGATTAAGTAGCTCGTAAGTGAATGGCACTATTTATATTTCACCAGACGGAAAGCAAACAACCATCAGATTTAGTCTTGATTTTCAGGTTGTCATTAGTTTCTTATTCACCGTCTTCTTCGATTTTCTTTTGTATGAGCGAAACCCATTTTTCATCAACCATAACAATGCGATATAAAAATGAATGGTTCGCATTCCTGTTTGGAAGACTGTTCTCAAGATGCTGACCTTCGTGGAATGGAGAGTCTGGTTCACAAGAGAAAGCTGACGAAAAAAACAAATTCCTTCTTTGTATATTTCCCAGTTTATTTGATATGTGACAGGTGAGCATAAGACATTAACTTCTCGTGCTAAATCTCTGACGCTTTGACGTTTAATCCAATCTAATGGTCTTT